TATTTAGGTGTGGTATGGTATTAATGGGTTGTTACCTTCCTCCTTGTTTAAGGGAGGGCTCTCGGGGTTGAGAAGGTTCGAGAGCCGATCAGCGCAATTGTACAGTCCGCCAAGCTAAATAAAACAGCACTTACTTGTTCGCCATAGAACTTCTGATGTCGACGCGAGGTTGAAAAAAAAAGAACAAATGCAGAATTTAATGGTACCAGAACTGGGTATTCTTCAACACTCGTACGAAGAACGCAAGTCGAACAGATTAAAATAATTCAATATTTTTTCTTTTATTTAAGTTAAACTTAAATGATTCAAAACAAATCGCGTGTGTAAATATATAAATCGCTCGTCGTTGATCTTATGATCGGTGCGCATGCACTGACGACCTAAGATCAAGGACTCTCTGTGTGGAGTGTGTGTGTGTGTCCCTGTTATATAGGCACATGCGGCGGCATGGACCTTGGGCCTGTCCTTTTAATGTAGGGATGTCAATACTACTATTGTTCGACCCGTGTCGTTCGTGCGGGTATCGAAGATACTGTTATTTATTTGAAAGGGTTTAAAAATAACGTACATATAGATTGTATACATAATAAAATATTTGTGCCGTCTTTAACAGTCGAATGATGCACATCATTACAGACAATTGGTCGCAAACGATCTCTATTTTCTTTAATTTGCGATAATCATTGCTTACAGACTTGATTAGCAACATTAAGGTCAGGGGTATGGTAATTTACAAGAAAATTTTTTCCAGCTTCAACCGACATTTGGTGATATTTATTTCGCTGGTGTATTAATAGTGATCCTTTTTCTCTTAGTAGATCATCAAAAGCTTTTAAGGGTTGTTTAACAAGCCGTTTAAGAGGCGTATTTGTTTGAACTCCGTCGCCTGATCCTGTACCAAATAGAGCGCAATATTTACAATACAGCCCCTGGTCTTTATGTGATAAAACGAGCCAATGGAATTTATCAAGATGAGATTTTTGAGCGTACATTTTGGTTTTTTTTCCATTCTTGGTTACCACACAAAAAGGAAATTCATAATTTATAGGCGGGATCCAGTGTTTTT